TTTTTTTTTTTTTTTTTTTGTTATTCAAACTAACTCTTCCTGTATTGTTTGCATTTTAGGAGCAGATGTGTTCCTTTATTGTTGACGTTTTCAACATCAATCGAGTTCGGTACACTTCTTTGACTGATTTAGCTGAAGATACCTGGTTGATCCTCCAAGCAAGAGTAGAAATGATTCAGACTCGCATTAATACTGAATTGTTACCGAGTTAATTAGGAATTTTTAACTTGTTCTGTAAATAATATTATTGGTTAAGTTGACTTTTTAATTGGTACATAAAGGATCTTTACGATTCTTTATTTGCTTTAATGTTTAAAAGGAAGCGCGATGAATGTTCACCAATAGCACTTCTTTTGCTTTTACTTGAATTTTGTCTCTCTAAGTATTAGGGTGTTTTATCTATTAAAAGTTGCTGATTTAACTACCCTCTCAGCATATCGGTAATGCCGTTTAGTACATTGCTAGTAATATCTAAAAATTCATAGCTTTGCATGATTTTAGCATATCACTATAGTTGTATTATTTCATTTGACTGTTAGAAGTTATTTATTACGAAGTTTCGTTCAGAATTGGTAACGAACTTAATATTTCTCTTGCTTCAGTTGTGGCATAATGACACTTCCAGTGCTTGTTCTACCTTAATTTTTTATGTTATTGCATTTGTTTATCCCTGAATTGTTCTCCTTATTTATTAACTGTAGTAATACCGTTGTTGTTACAGAGCAGGAACTCTGCTGCTTTTTTTATTTTTATTAAATTTAGTGCTATGTAAATTTGAGATAAGGACGTAGGTCGTTTTACTAAAAGTTCTTGTATTTTTGCGTTCTCAGTGGTCGAGTTTTAAATAAGTGTTTACAAAAGAGAACAGTGAGTTAGCTTCTTTATATTACAGTAGTTCGCAAATGAGGTTTATACTGGTGACGAGTTGTTACGTCGCTTGTCTATGCTATTCAGGATCAATTCCTCATTTCAGCTTTAAATTGTAACCTTTATTGGCTTATGCTTATGTTGGTTTCTTCCCTCTTTGCCACTTTAGTTATCTTTATAAAATCCTTACAATAGTGGAGAAGTCCGAATTTTGATTTACGATCGTTTTCAGTAAACACTTCATCTTGCACCATTTATTTGTTGTTTTATTGGCAAGTCACTTTCTGCTGCCATCGTCGAGTAAGCGTTATTATGGAGTAGTTCTTTCAGTTTACAGTGTCATTTCTTATGCACCTGGTTTATTAATTTTTCTACCGCTTGTTTCCAAGTGTGGACTTGTGTCTCTTTCTTAGTACTTGTGGGTTGTTCGCAGGTGGATAAAAAAGTATTGGGTTTTTAAAAATTTCGTGGAGGTGGAAAGGGTGGCTAATTTTTGTTGGTTGTTTGGATTCATCCGGAGTAATTACTTTCTTAGGGGTTACTTGACTAATGAAAATTTATATCAGCTTTTTCAAGTGCGCTGCCCTCTGGTTTTTTTTTTTTTTTTTTTTTTTTTGTACAGGCAGGAAGGGGACCTCGTGCATTTGGCTTCTTTTTGAGGTGTCTTTTTTTTGGTCGTGACGTTAAGGGGAGAATTTCAGCTTGTAAACATGGGTATGAGAACTGAGCAAGTGAAGGCGGTAGAACAGTTGTTGAAAAAAAATATTAATTTGATACCGATCGAGAAGTGGGGCTTTGATAAAACAATATTGGATGAAATGAAGGCACACAAACATCGCACTGTGGATTCACAGCTGTCAGAAGGTACTCTTTCCATTTTGAAGAACTGGATTTGATCTAAAAAAGTAGTTCTTCATCTGTTTCTTACATCTTCTTTCCCTTAGTTTGTCGCACCCTAGTTAAGGCTAGTTTTACTGGTTGGAGTTTGTGCGGAGTAACCAGGAATTTTTTTTTTTAAGCTTTGGTAGTGCGGTGTAGAGATAAAGCTTGCGTTACAAAGGCAGAATGCGAAGACTGTTCCGTGAATATTAATTCAGAGAATTTTAAAAGTTGAATAGTAGCTTTTAGTTTTTCGCAGCAGACACAAAAAGACTCCCAAAGGAATTCAGGCCTCTATAGCGAAAACTTGTATCCTACATCTTTTTTTTTGCCACGACCCTTACTCAAGGATAATAAGCTGTTTTATCTGAAAACCGTTTAGATTTTTCACAAAGTCTGTTACCATCTACTTTCCTTTCTTTTGGGGACGCTTATCTGTGGTAAAATTATCGTAGACTTGTGTCATGATCGATTGTTGCACTCACTGTAAATTTAGTGTTCAGTTAAATGCCCTTAAAACTTCTCCGGAACATTTGCAGCTTACTTTTACCTCCTTGACGCCTCTAAGCGATAAATTAGGTTGACGTTGAGATATTTTACAACCGTTTAGGGCCGCCTCTCAACAATTTAACAATGTAGCAAATATAAATTTTTTTTAACAGTTAGTTGCCACTTTTAACCAATTTTATCTTGCGGTATTAAATGAAAAGCGAAGCGGGATTTTAAAGTTATTTCTTTTAAGGTGCTAAAAAAAAGCTGAGTAAAGCCTTGAAGCAGCGTTTGGCTAGGAGATGTAATGCTTGCTTTGAAACTGTTACTGAAGTCTTCGAGTGGCTTGCGCTTTCAGGTGCCAGTACAGGAGTGAAGAAAAGCCAAAAAGTGGTTGGGATTTCATCAAGCTCATCTATAAAATCGGTAATTGCAGCCGTTTTCGGTCAGAGTGGCTACATATAGAAGAATTTTTTAGATTTGTTGTGGAGTTTTTTCGAGTTAAAAGGTTGTAATACAGTCATTTTCAAGTGTTTAGGAATCAGCAAGGGCTAGCGAGTTTGGTGTGAAAAAAAGGGGAAGCGGGAGCAAGTTAGAGGATACACCGATCAGATCAATGAAAGGAAATAATGTGGATGAAGCTGATAACGTTTTACACAACACTGCTTCAAAGCCCACAATTGACAACGGGTTTTCAGAAAAAACAAAGTTTCTTATTCTGTCCTTTTTTTCAATATAAAATTTTTGTTTCTCTTCAGGGCAGAGTTTTATAAACTTTTTTTTGGTAAAATAAGCATCTTTTATTTGAAGAGCGAAACGTTTTAAATAATTTCGGCTAGATATTTTAGCAGGAGAAAAAGAAAAGCGAGAAGTAAAGATGAACTTAAAGCAGATAAAAAGAGGAAACGTGCTGAGAAAGGGTCAGAGGATGTGGAAGAGGAAGAAACTGACGAAGTTTTTGGGCCAAGTCTTTCAACTTTGACTGATAGAACTTTAGCAATGCAGAGACTACAAGCAAGGATAAATAAACTGAAAGGCAAGTCTATTTGTTTATTTATTTGCGAGTGTGCTTTGAAACAGTCGTCTTTAAATTTGAAGGGGAACGAGAAAGTTAACGAGAATATGTTGTCAAAAAAGATTTTTACAGATGTACCGAAGTTGCAGTATAAGGAATCAAATATATTATTGTTCTAAAAAAGAATAATTTTGAAACAAATGTTTATTTAAGACTGCTGGGCTTTAATTTAAATGGTTTTAAGAAGGCAGCAGCGTAGGGTGATGTGTTCCAGATTTTTGTAGTCCTGCGCACGAGAATACACCTCTTAATACTACTAATGCCTTAAAGAAGCAACATAAATTGTAGGTTTCAATGGCCTAGGAGCTAATGTCATAATTTATATAATTCAAAACTATTGAAACCGTTAGGTAATTTTTTGTTGGTGGGAAATACTTTTTTGAACTAGAGGATTACGTCACGGATGTTTAATAAAAGAAGATATCGTCAACTGAAATTACAAGATAGAGGCGGCCTATCAAGAAAGGAATTTAGACGTGATTCAAACAAACATTTTACTTTTACTGTTACTGAGAAAATATATTCAAGAATATTATCTAATCAAGGGGAAGAGATGACATTTTAGAAATTTCAGCACTGTGCCTAAATTGCTATTGTCATTGGCGCCCAACTGCTTTAGGTTTTCAGACTTGTGAGCATGGCTCTTTTACTTTTTTGCTTATTTGTTGGTGCCATTTTTGTAAAGAGATGTTCTACGTTTTTTAGCGACAAGGTTGGGGAAGCGAACTGTGGAGGAAGTGAAGGAGGCTAGCAGGATGAGAAGAAAGCTGAATGACTTTAAAAGGAAGCAGAAGAAACAGAAGGGTGGACAAGAAGTAAAAGCTCAAAAGTAAATTTTGGCGCTTCATTTTTATGTCGGGACTAGTACAAGTTAGGAGTAGTTCGTGGAGTGTCAAGGTAGCTCGTTGTAGGACAACTTCACAATCTATTTTTTAACTTACTTAGAAGAACTGAAAATGGGTTTCAATCACATCTTGAGCTAACTGTCTTCAAGTCTTTCATGCTTATTTTGGTGTATTTAGAGGTGAAGGCTGTATTCTCTTTTATTTCTAAATGTCGACTATTCGTACTTTTTAAACAGAAGTTATTTTTTTCAATGATAAAATTAATATATTGTAACATCTGTTAGAGGAAAAAAAGAGGCTTCCAAATTAAATGTCAAGGAAGATGACGATGTGGGAGTTCAAACTGTTTTGTCGAATGGTGACTCAAAGATTGTTTATTCAAAGTTTGATTTTATTGTTAAAGATGAACCCAAGGTTTGTTGC